ATTTATTATGCAACTTATAACTTGCACAAGCAACGTGATGAAGAGGCGAAGAGACCGTGCAGGAAGGAGGTTGGGGTGGACGGAGGGGTCAAAAAAAGAAACCCGCTGGACTTTAACATGCGAGATAACCATTTCCTGTTCTGAACTGAAACTATGGCCATTCAATAACGTTGCATTATGCTCTACTTCCTTTCTCAAGTACAAGCTCTCCACTCGCTAGAGGAGAACTCAGGGCTTTGACTGGCTTATTGTTAAAGACAAAATGTTGGCTGCACTCTTAAGCGTGCTGTCAGGGTCCCTGAGCTATCTCCACTTTCCTGTCAATGCATCACATTTTAATTGCTGCAGATATCTAGTTTTGTATCCTTAATTGCTCATTTTTGTGGTTATCAGCTTATGAAACCTTAGATCTAGAAAATATAATCGTTCATACTGGGCTCTGAGCATTTCCAAATAATGGGGCACCAGGGTGACTGTGCCTGAAGACCTGCATTCAACATTTTATGAATGCATCTCTTTCATTTTTTTATATTTATTGATTGCATGTAAAATTTTACAAGTTTGGCTAAATACATTGTGCTTGATGCGTCCATTTGCATCGAAGACTCACCCCGCATCAAGGCTCTGGGCGCTGATGGAGGCCGATCCAGACTCTGTACCGCTCTCTGCATCGCTTTCACTTTGATATTCCACTGGAGATGTTGAACCTGGCTTGATCCGAACTGCGGGGAGGAAAGGATGAAAGGAAGATGAGTGAATAGAAGGACATAGAGTGGTAGAAACAGATGAAGGAAAATTGTGGGGCCATGGAATTGAGAGGGAGGAGGAAAAAGAAGAAGTTGGGGGTAGGGGTGGAAACGGAGAGAATAGAACAGCAGGGGGTTAATAACTTCTTAACAGCAATGTCTGGTTTCCAGCAACTTAGCAAGACAAAGGCTTGCTCCAAGTGTGTGTGTAGGATTAGGTGTGGTCTGCATGGCTGCAAAATGGATCAAATCGGAGGCCAAACCCCACGCTGGATTCCTCTGCACGTCTGCTTGTTTTCTCCATCTTTCTCAAAATGCCTGTTTTAGCCTCCAGTTTCTATTAAAAGAAGCATCTTCCAGTGGTTGTCTTTTACTTTCAGTTTCAACAACCTTTTACAATGTCACAGCAGGAGGAAGATGATGTGAACAGCTGTTAATGGGAAGGGAAAAAAAGCTGAACTCACAGACAATGCTAATTAGCAATTAAGTGAAAGACAAATTTCCCAGAGCTATCGGAAAGCTTCGGCGCGCGTCCTCCAGGATTGGCAAGCTGTTCGAAATTCTAACAAAAGGAAGGAAGACGTTTCGATTTTAAACCGAAGGTCCTGCTTTTGAATTCTTGATTACGGAGAGTTAACCGCTCTCAAGACATTTCCAGCTGCTCGTTTGGCTCTGGAAGTGTAAATTCATGTCCTCATCAGCTAATATGTAAAGGGAGGATGGCCTCGTCACAGCGCCACATCAGAAAAGTCATCGTATAAAAGGAGATTATTGCAGTTTCTTGTTATCTGATGTGTTAGTTTCATGGCCTAAAAAGAAAAACAAAGCTTTTAAAGAGACCAGATGCTACCTAAACGCCACCAGACTGGACACAGAGAACTTTATATATCTATGATTTTTAATGCACCTTCAATGAAATCAGGCTGGGTCGATTAATTGTTAGATCTCAAAGTCCCCCCCCTTCTCCTCCTCCTCCTCTGTGTGCAGGAATGTGGCAGCCACACTGTTCAAAGTCCACCCAGCCCGGAGAGAGCAAGAAGGGGTGGGGTGGTTGGAAGGGTGACGCAAGGAATTTGGGTGGAGTGTGTATATATATCTGTATGAATGTGTGTGTGTGGCAGTGGTGGTGTGGGGAGGGTCATGCACCAAAAAAGAAAAAAAAAAGTGGTGCTCTTTGTCTCTGGAGACAATAAAGCCACCCCCACCCTCCTCTGCTGCCTTCCTCTTTCAAAGGCAGAACGACCCATCTCCTCTCCTTTTGACCCTCCTCGTGCTTCCTCACCCGACCACCCCCCCACCGCCTCACCTCGCTGCCTTCGCTGTGCGCCCACCTATCTAGCCTCCTTCTCCTTTTCCTCCCACTCGACGACTCGGCGCGTGAGCTGCCAGTGTCAGCTGTCTGCTGCTCGTTCGCTTCGCATGGAAGAAGAAAAAAAAAATCCAAGTTCCCGTGTTGTCTGCTCGCTCCCCTCGTCGTGCTCACAACTACGCTCTTTGTTTCCTCTCAGCGCAGGGATGTGAAACGTACACAGAAAACAGGTTTATAAATGAGCTACGAGAACAGGCCGACAACCTTCAGTTATCCACTCGCACGCTCACTTGATTGATGCCTTTAGATTGTTTAGAGGATGTTTTGAGCTTGGGATTAGAATGAGAGAGAGAGCTTTTTTGCCCCATATTGGCTTCTTTTCATCAGCTCCCTGTTTAATCCAGAGTCCAATTTACACATATCTCCTTCTACTCACATATAAGGTCCTGAATAATCAGGCTTATCTGAAAGACCTCATAGTACCATATCGCCCTAGTAGAGCACTTTGTTCTCAGACTGCAGGTTTACTTGTAGTTCCTAGGAAAAGTAGAATGGGAGGCAGAGCCTTCAACTTCCAGGCCCCTCCTCTGTTACAGCTGTTGTAGTTAGGGCTGGATCAGGTAACGCCGAATCCTGCGTTAGTTACACTGCAATAGGCATGGAAGGCATTGAGTGTTCCTTCTCCACTAACCATCTGTTTATACACCACTCTGCATTTGTGCAAGCACTATGCTTGCTCATAGGGGGGTCATGTGATTGTTGGCTTTTCTCTGTATTATTGTAGGGTCTTTACCTTGCTGTAACAATGCTTTTTGGCAATAAATCTTATACCGTTGAAAAGCCTGTTTATTTCCAAAGAACGTGTATTTGTGGGTTGAGCAGCAGAGTTGAGAGTATGTGCGTTGCATCCATGAAAAACTTGCCAAATCTTCTCTGCCGTTGCCAATCGTCTTATTCTGCTGCCAACACAACCACACTGGCGGACTTGTGGCAATGCTAGTTGCAGAAAAGGATGTATGAGCGTAACTCACATACTCAACTTTGCTGCTCAACCCCTTTTGAATGTGAGACCATTAAAACAGATATGAATGGCTTTCCAACATTCTAAGATTTATTGTCAAGAAGCATTGTTACACCGAAGAATTAATAGACCAACCACAAATATCTCTAATAATAATAATGGATTGCATTTATATAGCGCTTTTCAAGGCACCCAAAGCGCTTTACGATTCCACTATTCATTCACTCTCACATTCAGACACTGGTGGAGGCAAGCTACGGTTGTAGCCACAGCTGCCCTGGGGCAGACTGACAGAAGCGAGGCTGCCATATCGCGCCATCGGCCCCTCTGACCAACACCGGTAGGCGGAAGGGGATCGAACCGGCGACCTTCCGGTTACAGATGTGCTTGCCTGAGCCACAGTCGCCCTACATTTCATACTACCAACATCTGAGATCATTTCTAGTTTTAAGTACATCATATTGTATGGATTACACAGTCCTCAGTGTTGCCTCAGTATCTTGCATCTTAACCTGTCGTTAAAGTGCTTTTGCTCCTTTACTGAAGTCAAATGAAAAGTACAATCAAATCACAAAATAAAACTCTGACCCCAGACAGACATACGGATCGCCAGGTTAAGTAATTTCACCGCAGCATCACTGTTAGGTGTGGAAACCAGGGCAGCACTGCAGAAACAAGCCTGATCTAAAGTTAATCTTCAATACAGAAAGACTGCAAGTCAACATGAAACATGATGTTATGTCAGCACATTACTCACTGACAGGAATCCCAATTGTAAACAGATAGGCAATGAGTTATGGAGAGGTGTGCAGTTTATTTGGAGAGACAGAGGGCCTTCATCGCAGTTTTTAAAGGACAACAAATCAAAGAAAAAGGATATCAGATATTGTGCTGCCACCAAACCAGCAGCTTTGTTACAATGGCAGCAAAAATTACAAAAGGGCTTGTTATTACTTCACTGAATTCTGTTCTACTTGATCTAATAGAAAGGTAATAAAGGAGCAGGGGTGGACTGAAATAATACTTCTCCAACCCCAAACCCCTTAGGCTAACCCTAGATCTAATTTTTGGAGGGGCTGTCACAATATTAGAATTTCTGTACCCGTTTAAAAGAAGTTTAAACAAAGACTGCTTGAAAAAAACAACCAACCAAAAAAAAAAAAAGAAAAAAAGAAAAATGTTATCAGTAAGGTGCGTCTTGTCTCTTCTTGGCAAATGAATTTAGCTCAAAATAGGAATAAAGGCAGATGTAGAAAGAGTCAGTATCAGAACCAAAACAACTATCACAGTTACCTTCAATAGCAGTAAGCATACATATGACAGCCCTCAGGCTGTAATTTCAAATATAGATACATCCTGAGTTTCTGAAGTTTGCTGTGTGTAGCATCAAAAACTCCCCACGAAGACACCAAACAGGAAAAATCAACAGAGCTAGACACGTAAATACAAAACAACAAAACTACATCTTTTAACCAGAGGAGGATGACAAAGAACATAAGAAAACTTCAGAAAAACATTCATTGAACTTTAACTTTTTTACTCTCCGCCTCTGCCCTCCAGCCCTGTGATCCCCATCCACTACACAACAGCTTTCTGTGCGAGCAAGTAAACAATGCGTGTTTTAGCAGAGCGACAGTAGGATACGTGTTTGATGGATGCTGTGACGAGAGCATAGAGTCTACAGGCAAAGCTTACAAAGCGTGGACTCTGAGAGGTGTCGGCTCATTTATGCTTTTATAATAATCACCCGACTGACTGGGTGTGTTTGGACTGTGAAACGAAGCCGGAGCACTCGCAGACAACCCAAGCCCATCAGATCGGATTCAAACCCAGGACCTTCTTGCTATCAGTCAACAGTGCTAACCACTCTGACACCGCGCCACAATACTGCCCTAAATTAGTATTATGTTCATAAAGAAAACTATTTCCCGTCTATTGTGCAATAATATTGTGCAAGTCAGCACAATGTGACCTGTAATTATGTAACATACTGTACGTACGGAGGACCAAAGCTGCCAAAATCATATTAAACAAAACAATAACTGTTCAATATATTAAATAAAAATTTAAATGATTAAAAACAATGTAACATATAATGGTAAGCACTGATTTGTTTATTAAAAGTAACCTTTTTTGTACACATTTTTTTTATGTTATATCATCATTTATTAGTATTTTTTGAATCCATTTGAACACAGTGTAGCTTTAGTTACCCTCACACTTCATTTGTTTACAGTATACTTCAGTTTATTGTACTATGTTTCATTTCCTCCTGACTTGTGTCTCTCTGTACTTTCTTTCTCGTTCCTCTACGAGTTTGCGCTTCAGAATGCAAACGAGCGAGCAGCCATTCGGCGTGCCTCGTGTTTAACTTTCTGCCTGTTGCTTGACTGACGCCGCAAATGATAAACAAAGTAGTTGCCTTCAGTCATGAAACTGCTGCTGTTGCAGACGCGAGGTGCTTCGTGCAAACATAAACAAACACAGAGATTAGAACAAATATAAATAAATAAATAAATGCTGATTAAACGCTAATTAAAAAATAAACATCAATCTTATCTTTTAACATTGCTAGAGCATTTACGGTCATATTGGGTATGGTGTGGTTATGGTTAATGTGTTGGGTATTTTGCATTTTCTAAAAGGGGTTTGAGACAAACTGGGAAAAGGTCAAAAACGTTAATCAAAACACAAACGCACAACAGCTCCTGGCATGGATGAGTAACAGTCTGAGAGCATCTTCAGGCCAGTCTGTGTGCTGCAGACTCTTCTGAGATTCACCGCCTGCCTCGTTTACATTCCTCAGTCCAGACTGTCTTGTTGTGAATCAGAGTCCAGGTGAACTCTGCCGACTTTGCCCGGGGGACTCGACTGCAGTTAAAGGGGCGGAGGTCTATTTTTCCTGCTTGCCTGGGCAAATGTCGAGCGTCCGGTCGTGTGGACACAGGGATTGACAGACATTTGCTGTTGTTTAGTGAACACCAACAGGAACACTTGGGAAGTTAAGACACTGCTGACTAATAAGAGTCCAGACAAATGCTAAGTAGTCAGCTTGATGACTATTTTAGCACACGTGGGGCATTCTTGGCTTTTTACATTACAGAATATGAGAAAATCAGCTGCTCAGAGGCTCACTGAAGAATTTTAGCCACTTCTCTGCAACATATGTAACAATTCTCTCTGCAGTTTTCCACATTTAGGCGCCGCCATCAATCATCTGGCACATATGGAGAATTTCCAGAATGACAAAGATAGACAGGCAGACAGAAGGCAAATCTAACATATCACCAACCACAAACAGACACCAGCTCCTTTGGGAGAAACGCTGTGTTCCACCGAGACTGAGATCCCCCCCCCCTCCATAAATGACAGTTTAAGCAGCGGTGACAGAACCATGCAACGCCAGGCGTGACAGTCAAAAGAGGAAGACTGACATTAAAGAGGAGAGGTCTACCGCTCATCTCAAATTACAAGTATTTTCATAACAGATATTGCTTTTGCGACATATTAAATAAACATTCGCGGTGCCACGTTCCTTCTTAACATCCTGTTTCAACATGGCACATTAAAGAAAGAAAGAGGTTCTAAAATGCTGTGTCACTGCAACGTCAAACATCTTCCTACCCCCGTTTAAATGCACGATTTAGTCTGCTTCTCATAACAGCCAAAATGCAAAACTACAAGCATTAATAACAGAATTATTGCAGTTTTTGCAGTTTTCAAATTTCCTTTCACTTACTTGGTGAAGGGCTGATAAAAAATAGGTATGATCCTTATCTTAGTGGAGGGAGGTGGAGGGATGTAAATCAAGATGGCAAGTCAACATGGTGGCTCTACAAAGCAGTGCCCGCTCCTTTGTATTCTTAAAGGTTTAATGTTTAATGTTTTCTGAGACTGCACCTTTAAATAATATCCTGGATTCAGAGGTTATTTGTGTGGTTTCATGTAAGAACTCAACCTTTGCTTCATGACTGTACAACTCCTTAAAAAACAAACAAACAAAAACCAACATAAGACTATTAGATCCAGTAGAATACATTGGCCAATATTTAGCATGGTGCTAAATTTGAGTATGCAAAGCCAAGTTTTATTTTAATATTAAGAAAGGTGACGTCATGTTTCTTTTGCAAGAGCAAGAAAACAAAATCTCCAAGATTGCACCAAACCTGTGTTAGATCAACACGGGCTACGCAGGCTGGTTATTGCCTCATGTTGAACTACATCACTGGCTCCTGACTGGTTAGACCATAGGTGTCAAACTCTGGCCCGCGGGCCAAATTTGGCCCGCAGCCTAAATATATTTGGCCCGCAAAGCCATACCAAATTACTATAAGAACTGGCCTACTGGTATTATACAGCTAATATATATATTGTTTAGTATTAAGCTTTGCTTGTTCCATATTCAGTTTTTCAGCAAAACTTGTTTGAGTCCATAAGAAAAGATTCATTCTTATATCTAGACGAAGATTTTTTTTTCAATAAATATTAATGTTAGCCCGCGACTTTGTTCCAGTTTTGAATTTTGGCCCACTGTGTATTTGAGTTTGACACCCCTGGGTTAGACCAACCAGTCTATCCAACCCAAGAACAGTGAATATGGGGTTAAAAAAAGAAGCCTAACCAAAAACTGCAGTTCCTCTAATGTCCACTTGAGCCTGCCTCCGAAACGGAGTGAACTCCCCTCGACTCCAGCCTATAGGTTAAGTTTGGTTTCTATTCCTCATCCAGCTGCACTTTTGAATGTATATATTGTTTTAAGGCACGACGTTTAATGCAGTGGAAATGCATGTTGCAGTGATTGCAGATGCACCTTGCTAACTAAGCCAAACGACAAGTGCAAACGTTAGCAAACCCTGTCAGCTAACATTATCACATCAGCTGTCAATGAGCGAGCTCATGTTGACTGATATACTGTATTTATAAACCCTGTGATCTTATTTAGTACAAAGTCTGGATATTTAGGCAACTGAAGACTGAAAGTGGTCTAAATGGAACAGACAATGTGACACTCTTGTTGTTAAAAGCAGAAGCTATACTGCACTGGTGTTGCCCCCTTGGAGCTTATGACTGTACACTCACCAGATCCTTCAGAGCGCCCATCACTGCCTATCAGCGGCACCGTAATGGCTGCTGTGGCGACACCGTCAGTAGGCATGGTGGTGTAGACAACAGGCAGCGACTGCACCACCACAGGGATGGTCTGCAGCTGACCCACCTTGCTGGGCATGGTCACTGAGGGGATTGTATGGATAACGTGGAGAATCTGCTGGCCTCCAGCGCCCTGCGTGGCTAAGATGGATCCCGGAGAGAGGACCTGGAGAGAAAAGAAGCGATGAAAACGAGTGGTTGTAACTCGACCGCGCTTTACACTTCTAAATCCACAGAAGGTGGGAGTTTATAGTTACCATGGAGCCTATCGATTGTACCGCAGAGGGGACAGGTGTGGCTGACAGGCTGGGCTGGGTCACGGCGCTGCTGGGAGCCGGGTTGACTGTGGTGCTCGTTGTCGAAGCGGAGCGAGGTTTGTTGAGCGAAAGGTCAACGGGCTCAGTCTGGTCCTCGGTGGGGCTCGGATGAGGCGAGGAGGGCTCCGTCTTGCACTCCTTCTTCACCTTCAGGTCTTTTGGCTGTGAGCCGTCATCACCTATATCTGCCTGCTAGAGAGAACATGGTGGACAAGAAGATATAAGAAAAAGTTAGAAAGAAAAAGGACAAAGCGATAACTCATCTTCAGCAAACTAAAGTTGACTGGTTTTATTCCAGATTTTACTCTAAACCTGGCAACTTATATCCTCAACATAATTAGATTTTTATTCTCAAAGGAGAGCAATCTGATATATTAATTAGAAGCAGTAATCATAGTTATGTGTAGCATGTTAAAAAAGAAAAATGCTAATGCATGCTGGTTTATTGTTTAAAAAGTCAGCAGGAGCCAAACAACCCACAGTAATGAACACAACAGCAGAGGAAACAGTAGTTAAACAGGGACCTAATATTACAAACACTGATACAATGGTAGATGCTAATTTTTACTGTTCAGTTTCTTTGTTTGGGGCAAAAATCAAAAACAAGTAGCTTAAGAGCCTGAAAGAGAGAACTGAGGCAGTGGCTACATCAAGGCCCATCAAGCTGTAAGATTACTGGAGATTATTCTGAATCGAATCATGCAAAGCTACTCTACTAGAGTCCATGCAAATACAGCGCTGGTCATGAATACAACAGGTGACCTTGAATCTTTGTATCTCTCTCTGCTTTGCAGTCACTCTGCATGTCACATGGTCATGGCAAAGAACACCATTAATGCATATATTTGTGAGCAGATAAGCTGTAAAATACTGGGCAGGATGGAAGAGAAACACTGCTGGTTGTCATCAGGACCATCATCCAATGTGCAAATAACAAATGCTACCAATTTTTGTGTAAAACATCCACCAAATTTCTCCAGGAAAAACCAAAGTGTGCACTTTCATCAATATTCACAAGAGTAAAACAATTCATTCTCCGACTCAAACGCAATGCCAGGATCATGTTAGGAAATATGATGGTACAGGCTTTTATCGCAGGCTTGATACATGACGAATGATGCTGAGACTCGTGGGCACTGTAGTAGTCAGACGCGTCAGCCATAGGAGAAGAATTTAAAATATAATTAAAAGAAAATCATGGAATGAGAGATGCTTCTGCAACCTCCTCAACCCTTTGGGCATACATCTTTCATGGCCTGACCTCATTCTTCGGTGAATGAAGACAGACAGCGATTGGTTAAGGTTTGCTTTGAAGAAATGCTTCATGCAAAGGAAAATGCTTTCTTATAACAGGCATTGTGGTTTTTCATATTGTCCCTTTGCATCTACAGCAAGCCAGGACTCGGCTGCCATGCAGCTCGAGAGCACAGGGAACAATGGCTGCAGTGTGGTACACTGGGTGGGGGGGGGCGGAGGAGAAAGTGAGGGAGACAGAAGAGAGTGAAGGGCTGCATGGGTACAGAGAGAGACTGGTACTGTGTGAGAGGGAGAGAGTTAAAAAAGAAAAAAAAAGAAAGACACAGGAAGAGTGAAAGAGACACGGGAGAACTGGAGCGAGAGGGAGCAGCAGCGAGCCTCCAGTCCGGGAGTTGGCCTCCGTCCAGTTCAGCTGAGCACAGTTTGGCTCTGGGTGAGGAGGAGAGGGTGGAGACTCTGCTACGCCCTTTTATCGGGTCACACAGTTCAGCTGGAGGCCGTGGCAGTGGCACAAATATAAGTGGTAAACAACTTTCCCCTGTCGGTGTCCAAATGGCCAGAGTTACAACAGAGCAAACCTGTTGTTCTGCTTTTCCCCCCTTTTTACGGCATTACAGGACACGTGAAGATTTAAAATAGATTAGCGTCTTGATTTTTGCTTGTAGATACGATTTGCAATGGTTAATCCACACCAATGCTCACCTTCTACACTGTGGTCTAATGCAGTGGGCTTGAACAAGCAAAAAAAACCAAAACAAAACAAAGTAATGAGCGAGGAAAGGAAAGGAAAGGAACATGCCGCACCTGCGTGAAACTCGGCTTAGGTGAGGAGGGATTTAAGGAGCACTTTATAGGCAAATAGGAAAAAGAAAGGAGAGAGATGAGAAGGTAGGACAAAAAAAAAAGAGAGGAGATGGGCGAAGAGAAGCTGGGCTGTAACGTGATTATACTGAGACGGTCTTTAAAAAAAGGGAAAAAACTGAAAAGAAAATGAAGTGTGAAAGAAGTGAGGGAGTGGGTGAGGCACAGAACGAGACAGGAGAAAGAGAGAGAAAGAGAGTGGGTGGGAAAGGCCAAGCGTTGCCATGGAAACTGGGAGCCATCAGCTGACTCCATGTTTTTCCACTCGTTCCCCACCCACCACCAACTCCCTTCCATTTCCCTCCCGGTCCACTCGTCTTTCCATTGCTTCAGCCCCGCCTCTCCTCGCTCCTTTCTTTTCGCTCTCTCTGTCGCGACCACACCCCTTCCACCTTTCTCTCTCTCTCTGTTTGTCACATCCCTCCTCTCCCTCCAGCATCTCTCGCTCTTTACATCAACCACACCCTTGTTTTTCTTCACCACCTCACCCTTTCATCCCTCGCTGGCTTCATTTCTACCCACTCGCTCTTTTTTTACCCCCTTCTTCTTCTTTTCGATTTTCCTCTCCCCTCCGCTTTTCCCTCTTTTCACAGCTGCTCAGATTAAACCCACAACTCTGTGCGAAATCCTCAAAAGAAGAGACTGAAAGGCTGAAGTCCAATATGAAAAAGAGAGAGAGAAAAAGACAGAAAAAGAAAATAAAACCCCCTCCGGATGCCCGCGAGCTCTGTGATCTCAGAGGAAGGGAGATGGAAGGGAAGAAAGAGGGGCCACAAAGGAAGAAACACTTTCTATGAAGACAGAGTGATTAGCTTAAGAGCGAGGATGTAAAAGAGCTCTTTCCTCACAATTTTATATCCCGCTCTGCGTCAAAGCGGTGGCTTTGTTTCCCCCAATAAATGTCCTTGATTAAATGTATAAACTATTCTCATATTTAAAAGTTTTTAAGCCACACTTTGCCATCAGCTTTGGTTTAAGCTCTTGGGTGTTTTTACTATAAAAGTCAAAAATGATCTTTCAATCCTTCGGTCAGAAACTGATATTCAGTTGCAGAGAATGCACATCATCGATAATAACACAGCCAGGTTTCATAATACAGAATCAGTATATTATAGTATGGATCAATCACCCAGTAGTATTTTCAAATACCATTGATGTTTGCAAAAAGTGAAGATTAGCTGATAGACTTTTAAAAAGAGGAAATCTGAAGGACGTCATTTCTGCAAGTCAGGATTTCAGGACAGTTTTTCTGAAATGTCTGAAGCTCGGCCTTTTTTTTTATTTTTATTTTTTAAAGGGAATGAACAGCAGAAACAGTTTGTGTTTGGACACTGGCACAATTTGAGCTCCGTACGCCACCACAAAAAATTTGTCAAGTATCAATTAAGCCGAAACTGAACGCCTCACTTTCAGTTTAAACTCAAAACCACGATCGAAATAAAATGTTAATGTTTAGAAGTGCGTGCAGGAAATGCCCTTCTGCCTGGAGTCTTCCTTCCCTCCCTCAGTAATGCTCCACTGGACTGAGATCGGGAGATTTACTAAGAATCATCTTCCTTCGTAAACTTTCGGGCTGCTAAAATCTATTGCGATGGCTGCAAAATTACAAACACCGTGCGACTGTGCAAATATTTCCAGCATGAATTGCATGTAAATATGAATAAATGACGGCTTAAAGAATCTAGGCAGCTTCCTCTAGATCTCTGCACGAGGTCGTTAAAATGACACGATGGCAACAACCTGCAAAACAAAGCTGCAGGCCTTTAAAAAGTGAACCCAACATGTCAGAACGATACACGGAAAAACCTTTACTGTTGCAGTGGAGCTCCGCCCCCCCACCCCACACCCTACACTTCTCAGTTCATCTGCTCCATCATAAAATGGGTCACACAGTGTTCGCCGTGCAATTAATTCATGTGATCTCTAACTTGAATGAAAGTGGGGAGCAGCTGTAGTGGTGAGGAAGCCCGGCAGAGAGAAGAAGATGTAAAATGTCCAGAGGACTTTAATCCCGGCTTCATACAGATCAAATAATGAGCGATTTACAGCTCGGCTATAAGTACCCTCATGTGTTCAGAGAGGACACTGCGTGGCGATATTTCTGAGTACATAAGCAGGGAATTCTTTACCAACTCGATCAAATGAACAGCGCACTTTCTGGCTGTCTAACAAAGAGTTAACAGGTGACGCTAAGCATGAGAGGTAGATTCCTGACAGGCTGATCATGCTCGACTGTCAGCAGCCACATAATTTATTGATGTCAAGTTACATGACAAGTGGGGTAAACTGTGACAGGCCTCTATAACAAAGTCGCACTAAGAAGCCTTTGATACAGAGAGCGCATCCTCGCTCAAAGTCACTGTTTTTGCTCCAATTTTATAATCTGGAGAGTTTTTAAGTCGTTTGTAAGTAACATCAAATATTGGTATCAGCTATCTTGTTGATTGATGTCAGCTTATGAGAAAGTAATAACTCCGTATTTAGTGGTTGATATTCGTCGGTTATGTTAGGTGCTTGTTAAAGGTTGAAAGAAAATGTTGCCAACAGCTGACGTTAAAACTTGTTTTTTCAACTAAAGCCGTCTCACCTGACAGAAAGAGGGGAAATAACTAAAACTCAATAAACAAAAGGATATTGATTGGTATCAGCATCAACTGTCAGGCTAAATATTACTTTATAACATAGACTGTATAAAAAGGATGTCTGAATAGTGAAGTTACCTTGGCCAGCAGTGTGAAACTAAGTGCAGAAGAAAGCCCATCTATAAAACTGTCTACAAGAAAATGGCCCTCGGGTCGCTGATCTGTGGCCTCAGTAAACACGTTCCTGATGAGTTTATGGTCATTAGTTTTCGTTTCAAGTCGCATTTATTACAACACAATGTTCCTTTTTGAATTACGGTCCCCATTAGAGTCAAAAAGGACGATAAAGACGCCGTTTGCTTTACAGCAGGCCCACTTTGTGATTTACAAGCGCTACCACATTGGAGTCAGAGCCCCTTGGTTTTTCAGTCAAATCCACCCATCTTTTTTATACAGTTTATGCTTTAAACACTAGTATCAATATCAGCTTACGACGACTTTAAGTTCCTGGGTTGTTGTGGAAAATGTTATTTTCCAAATGGTGAAAAAGGAGACCGATGGTGACTTTGTAACACTACCCGTGCTGCACCTGCGCCGGTCATCGGTGGGGAACACGATCTGCTGCGGTGAAAAGAAAACAACAGAACGCACAGAGCACACGCAGAGGGAAAGAAACAACAACGCTAGCTCCTCTGAGGCCTCGAAGTCTGATGTTTAAATGTTGCCTTTTTCCTAACAGGAAGAAATCAATAGGTCCCGAGGCAAGACAGACACACGGTGACTGCTTATATACGAGCGGAGAGAACGGAGGACGGAGATGGAAATGGAGGAAAAACAGAAGGAGCGAGCAGAAATTAAGTAAGAGGCATATCTGGCGTGGATTCGTTGTGCTTTCCAGTGCCTGTGTGTACAGAATTGATATGTTTAGGCACTTGCAGACAGCCATTTCCATTTGTGTGTTTGCACACTTGAGTATATGAAGTGTGAAGTCAGATATGGACATGGAGAGAATAAACAACAGCTGGGGAAGACATTAACCACAGGCACAGCCTTGCAGCTCCGCCCCTTAAGTCCTTACCCACCCAGTGCAACACCAAGTGCCCCCACCCTGGATTAAAGCACACTCCCTCCTGCTTCTCTCTCTCTGCTTCACCCACCTGTTAGCAGCCTGATACTAGCACAGCTCAGTCTTAGCCACAGTCAGTGTTGACTCTCGGTCTAATGTTACCTATTAGGAGTTGCCAGTGTTGATATCCTGGGTGCTTAGTAACTTGTTCACCTACATAGGACAGCCTGCCTATAAAGCTCGCAGCACAGGTGTGCATAAATGTGCACGGCGAGAAAAATCCAACTTCAGACGCGCTCACAGTGTAAACCATGACATCTCGCAGCTTTTTGGTTAAGTCATAAAAGGAAATGTGTGAAGGTGATCAGAGAAACCCAATTAAAAGCCACAATAACTAATTATGCATCTGTTGCAAACGGCATTCGTCTCATAATTAATGCTGCTATTGTACGTGATTTTGCCACGTGTAGGCATAATAAGCTGGTCTTTCTGCTACAGCTGTTGTAAATAAAGCCTCAGAAGTATCATTAGCATTCGACTAGCTTTCCAATTAGCAGGTGCTTCAGTACAAAGATTCAGGTTCATCAAGTCGTATCTCAAGCCGCAGAAAATGTTAAGCTTGCATCTCTGATTGAAAACAATCAGACATGAAGGAAAAGTATACTACACAATACTGCGGCGTATTAAACCGATCTATTCATAAGAATGTGCAGAATCTGCTGTTTGTAGACTAAATAATTTAGGCGTCAGTCACACAGGCTTACAGACCTGTTGGCAACCACTTGGCAACCACCAGCTGCAAGGGAAATTCTCCAACCAGTTGAGAGTGTTTGCTGGCAGTCACTGTGCTAAAGCTTCATTCAGGCACGCCTACAGACCGGTCAGTAGCTCCTTGACTGCTACTGAAAGGTGTGTATTCCACAACTGGTTGGCAGCTGGTTGCTGGCAGTTGCTAGTGTGAAAAGTGGCTGCAAAGCGGTAGAGTCCAGCACTAAAAACCTGGTGATTGCAGTAGTTGCTATGACTGCAATGGGTAGTTTCCCGTAGTTTGCCCGGAAGATGCCGACTTCTGCAAACACTTTGAAATGAAGTAAATTAAGTAAATGGTGTTTGCAGACTAGTTGGCGTCTTCCATGCAAACTGTAGGCATCTGCAGCAATGACAGAATTGACAAAGCATCCTCTTTGCAATCAATTTCACCTGATGATGGCCACGAGCAACTTTCAATAAGTTGGGGAATGCGTATTTTTCTCTAATGACAGGAGGTAGCCAGGGTCATTGCCAACCAGTCTAGGCCTGTGAGAATGAGGCTTTATGTGGAGCAGAAGAGATACTTCAAAGCAGTCTTAACTTTTAAGTTATTGTCTAACATTGATAAAGCTTTTTAAAATTTGATCTGCATTCATAATCTTTGATTTAAGAAAGTCTTGAACCAGAAATCCATTATATGCTACAGAGAGGCTCAGAAATATTAGCTGTTGTCCACAGAAGTTCTCGACCAGACAGCTCATTCAGATTAAAATATAAGGTGAAGAATATCTCTTTTACCCATATATTGTCATTTCTGTATGTTCATAATAAACTTGTTTCCATTATTTTTCTTTCCTATGAATTAATAAACCGTTCCTCTGAAAACCGCTTTAGTGGAAAGCAGCTAAAAGCGTTCAGTGGCTGTAGCTGTGCAGCAAATGCATGTGCTGCTATCACGGTGCATACCTTTGCTTCCACTTCCAAAGAAGTGTTTACATAACTGGACTTGTTCGAAACCTGTCTGATTGTGCGTGCAGGAACGCCCAAAAATGTCTTTCTAGCAACCTTTCCCCGCGTCTTCACAATAACAGCAGAGGCTTTTCTCATATGCAGACAGTTTTTTTAAGCCTTAACCAATAATACCTTCTTTACAATTCACTTTAGTTTTCCAAGTTTCCAACAAGGTTCTCTGTGACTGCAAGAATGTGCCTGAACCAGGTGTGCAAGACACGTTACAGAGATATAAAACCTGACCAGTCCAGCAGAGTCTGACAGAGTTCACGGCCTGTCTTTCCTGACGGCTCGCTATCACTGATATCTCTACAGCGTTCGGTAAAGACAGCATGCCATCTTTTTATGTCACGATCTGTGTTGCAATCGCTACAAACAGAACATTATTACTGAAAATCATTTTGAGCAGGTGCAGCTCAGGAGGTTGGTGGTTCGATCCCCGGCTGTTTAAAAGTATCATTGTGAGACAGACTCAGCTGAGGGTGGGAAAACATAAATTTGCCTGTCTATTTTACTCAAGAATCCAAAACTGAGTCAAGTCCACGACCCATCCAACACTTCTACAACATCACTTTCACAAACGGAAAATCTCAAACATTTTTTGCCTCTCTTGTTTCAGCGGCGAAGACGCTGGCACCCGTGGCACCTCGGCTTAACTCTGGGAAACAGTCTGTTTTTACTGGAAACAGGTGAATAGATTTTGCACTGCTGACACCGCTTTTTACCCCCCGTGCGCCCCCTCGCAAGTTTAAATAACATCTAAGTTTGATGTGAAAATATGCGCATCTACAAGCATATTAAAACAATTATCATGTCTCACCCTTCTCTCTGACAGCCCCCCACCCCCATTGTCTTCCGGCGCGGCCGTTCAGAGCAGCGATCAACACTTTCAGCTTTAGACAACCCGCCATGCAAACTATGCCTACGTGAAGCATAACCTACCCTGAAGGCTTGTCACCTAAAGAAGAAGCATGACAAGTTGACAGCAGCGAGATGAGAAACAAGCAGCTTGACCCAGGGCAAGCAGCCTACTATTAATTATAAAGGCACTTGCACGCGACAGCCACCTGACACATCAAAAATTACTTTGGACTACATGTCCACAAGATGTCATTAATTACACCAGCACAAGGGGGGATGCTGTTGAACTAGTGCTAATGACGACAGAGTAATTTAAGAAATCAGCGCCGCCTGCGTTACTGAAACGATGTCATTACCTCATCAAGCGTCGCCTTTAGTTTTGGACGTCTGCTGGCTACCCTTTAATCCCAGCGGCACATGCAAAGTATTAAGTTATGTGTGAGAGGCTGCTTGGAACAACTTGGGCAAAATTAAACGTTGTGCATGTCGCCCTGATTGAGGCTGCCTACCAGCGACCTGAAGTTGGTGCGTGCGTTTCATGTCAAACACATAATTTAAAGACTCGGCTCAAGCTGGAGAGGGTACTCTTGATACAAAAATGCTACACGGTGTTAAAGTTGCTGTAGCCCATTTCAACTATAGTAACTGTCAGGTTCACACCTTCCTTCTTGGACTCTACTATTCATCATCCAGGGCCTTCCTGCACCAGTGGATCCGTGCATGATGTCTGACACGAGCTCCGCTCACTTTAAGCCAGCTTGCTTCTAATTAGCTGAGCGGCACAAACAGAAGGTTTGAAGAGCAGCTGGTTGGAGTTGCTATGGCGTTCACATGTGCAGAGGCTGGCAGTGGGCAGAGTTAAACTTATCTGAACTTTAAAGTTAAAACTGGTCACAACTCTTTTCCTTAATGGTGGGTTTTAACACCTGAGGATAAATCAAAGACGTGGATTGCCGACCGTACGAATGATTTCCTGGTTTAACTTGTGATGCAAACCCACCCGTATGGAAAAGAAATAGTAAAAACTTATATGATTTACTCATGAAAGTGGCCACTTTCTCATTACTTTCATATATTGTTTTAGGAAGTATCCAAAACATACAAGTTTCATTTATATAATTTTTCAAGGGATCTTATATCTGTTTTCACTCTTGTATGCTTTTCATACAAGTTTCACACAAGACAGATACAAACTTTATAAGATATATATATCTTTTCCATATGAGCAGTCATTTTGTTCTATAAGCAGGCTTGAAATGTGACAGAATCCACTCAGTTTAGAAAAAAGGAAAGATAAACAAACAATAGTTTGCTGATACTATAAGCTGATCTCAACTTAGTCTGAGAAGGAGAAAATCTGTGGAAGTCATTTCATATTAATCCCTTTTGTCCCATGCAGTAGACTAAGAGGCAGTATCTTAACTGTTTATTGATGCAGACAGGTAAAAAAAAAATTGAAATCTGGCTGCTGCTGCTCCTGTAACTCACAGGAAAGCTGAACCCCCTCCGACGACCTCGCCAGGATGTGCTGCGATTTGACGCACAGACAACATGATTTACTGCGACTGTACTGAACCCCAGCCAATCCACTTAATGACCTACATGTTTCCAGATGACTTTAGACTAACATAGAGCTTCCTCTCCCAGTCATGTATTTGCTTCCCGGAAGCTCTGCACTGTAGGAAGTGGGCTGCCAACAATGACATCATCATCCTGCACCAGCAGAGGTGACTGCATCTGCACTGAACTGCAACCCCTCCTGCTTCTCTCTCTCTCTCTGCATCCCAAATTTTGAATGTGCCGTCCTTTGAATGGACTGAATGCTCCAACATAGACGCACACACACACACCCACGCACGCACACACACACACACACACACAATGATTGCTAACTAACTCATGCTAGCAAAGCCCTGCTGGCAAAAGCACAGTAAATCGGCCTCTCTAACCTCTCATGTCTCATGCTCTCACACGCACAAACGCACAGGGAGTAATAGAAAGTGTGTGCGTGTCTGTGTGTATGTGTGTGTGATGTGGTCTCTTTGTGCATGAGTGCTCCTGTTTGCTGGAGGACAACTGACTTGTTTATGTGAATACATCAGTGTGACACACACGCATGCACAGAGGGCCTCATTGTTTGTTTGTGTGTCTGTGTGTGCGTGCGTGTGAGAGAGAGAGCGATTACAGGGCTATTCACTGTGCTGTGCTGGCAGGTATTCAGTGTGTGTCTGCGTGTGTGTGTGCGTGCATGCGTGCTCCCCTTTGGCATAAGTGGTGATTTAGAAAAAGAGAGAGATTGAGGAGGGGGCAGGGGAAAGATGGAGAGAGAAGCACTGGTTGGAAAGGTGGAGGAGAAAAGAGGAGGAGAAGGAGTGAGGATTGGTGGTGGTGATGGCGGGGG